CTGGATCAAAGGGCCTGATGTAATTGTATCCGGCAGGTGAGACCGTCCCGGTAGCAACATTAATATAGGATGCCCACATCGCTTGTATATTCTTTTTTGTGCGTCAAGTATTTCAGCTAGTTTTTAAGATCCATTTGCGAAAATTTTCTTTTTTTCGACAAATTTTTGCTCCTCTGAACAACTACACAGTTACAGTCACTTTTTAATGTCGCGCATCGCGTTGCAGATAACCAGCAACCAGAAAGCGGTGTCGCAGTGTCCGCTTATTCAACAACCGGTAGGCAGCTGGAACAGGAACTAGAGGAGCTTACATCCTCTTCAAGACGATCCACTCTTAGGCGGCATTATACGGTAATCTTTCTGTTTTTTTGGAAGACACATCTAAATTTTTAGGGAGGATTTCCTTAGGCAAAGTAACGAAATGGAAAGACTAAGGTGAATAAGTGATTAGATTTGCTTTTTTTGGATAGAAAGACGACAGTGATTATGGAAATCGGTTTTTTTCTTCAGAATTTCGGCTTCTAGTCAATAGTTGAGGGATGCAACGTTTTTTTCATTGAAAAATCAACCGGACATTGTGATCTATAATTTACTAGTAGAACTGCCATTTTGATTTTCAGCCTGGTGATTATCTGAAGTATGGTAGTGATGCTGAGGCTTATGGTAGCTTAGCCAGGAATCGACGTTCACTTTCTGCGTCAGCACTTGGGCGAGAACTTGCACGAGGTTTTTTTCTTAATCCTTTATTTCGAGTTTGAAGCAGCATTGAAATCCCACCGAACCAACTGGTACCATTTCAGTTAAAGTTTAAGCGACATTTGTTGCACAGTGAATACTTCGATATTTTGATCAACTGTTGTTTTTTCATGGCCAAAAGTTCTTTTTTCGAAATGTCTGCTGTGGTTTTTGACTGCTTTCAGCTTACTAATAAAATTCGGCCACGTCCAGCAAACAATTTTTCGACATAGCTTATTGCCTTACTAGTTCTTGAGAGAAAACCAGATTCTTAGTTCTTAGTTTGCTGTATTTCATTAGAAAAATTTTTTCTTAGTTTGCTGTATTTCGTCATTTTTACGGTGCTGCTTTTTTGTCTATTTTATTTTCAGAATTTATGCATTACAGCTTCAGACATTACTGTATTCATCTTGTAGAGCAAATAGTTTTTCCTTTTTTTTTAAATAACGCTTTGAAATGATTCCTTTTTGGCTAAGGATTGAACTACCCCGTTGATACTCGCCGCTATTCTGATGAACTTTCCTCAGCCTGAATGGCTTCGCAAGATAAATCAGAATGATGCAAGGCGCATTCGGAAGGCATTCGCTATCTTTAAATTTCATTTTTTGTTTTAAAGCTTTTTTACCATTCTTTTTCGGGGTCTTTTTAATTCTTTTATTTAGCTTTTCTGAATTTCTTTTTTTTTGCGTGCA